TAAAAATGCATGAAGTAAAAATGCCAGTACTGTAATAAAATTACCAAACCTGGCCTATTTTTGGGAAGTACCCCCAAGGTAATCTAATTTTTTGCCTTTTTTTTTTTTCCTCTTCCGGTAAAGGAAGAAACATGCTGGTATTGAGGGGTTAAAACATTGAGCTTGGTAATGGTGTACTAAATAGAATAAATGTACAGGTCATACACAGTGAGGCGGTGATAGTGTTTATGTACAGATGTGCACAATAAGGGAGTTGAATGGTTAAGAGAAAATTCCGGGTTATGACCAAATTTTTAAAATACTCCCTTCCCTCATCACACTAACCTGTGTAAAAAATGCCTGCGTTTACCTGTTTTCATGCTGGTCTGGTCATGTGATCCAACTACCCTGTGTTAGCCAGTGCTGCTGCAGGGGAGAGGAGGGAGCGCCAACAATGGATTAGCCATAGTAAGCCTATGGGTGATGTCGATCCTCTGGCATTGCCAGCTGTTGTCGACTTCTCTCTCCCTCCCCTCTCCCCTCTCCTCTAGTGTGCTGCTGGCTGACACGGCAGACCAAGTGGCTGGAGCGGCATGAAGTTAGGTAACAATAGGCATCCTTCTTGTACAAGTTAGCAAAAATAGGTGTTAGGAGGGGGGAGAGGACATTTTTTAAGATTAGTTTGGGTTACCCAAAAATTCTATCTTAAAGTTCCACTGTAAGAAAGCAAGCGGGCATTTTTTTTTTTTTTTTTTTTATTGCAGAGGAGAGTTGGCACTGTCTCTTCTGTAATAAAATGTCTCTACCTGCCTGCTTGCTGTCTTCTGCAGGGTTCTAAACTGAGCTGCGCATGTGCAGCTCCATGTGCAGCTCCATTTACAGCACTGGGCAGATCACTGAGTTTTGGGACCGTCCAATGAAGAGACTTGATGACCAGCTCTCAGAAGAAGGTGCAGACAAGGGACTGTTGGACAGAGTGGTTTTGATACTTTAGTTTCTCTTTCATATATAGGTCACATAGACACTGGAAGCAGATCAGATTTACATAAGAGAAGAGAAATTGAAAGGGTAAGGGTTTGTTTATACTGCCTGCACACTAAAATGCTCCGTTTTAGCATGCAGGCAGCTGTCAGTTTTGCCCTGCTGTGAAGGCGCATTGCGATGCGTGTTTCAGCACTTTGCACAGGAATCGCTGTGCTTTCCTGTGCGATTCACACCGCATGGAAAACACACTCCATTTTCATGAATGGGCTTAAATTGTACTGCACAGGAACTGCACAGCATTCCTGTGTGATTCACATGCAGTTTCTGGTGTGGACCGGCACTTAGACTATATATCTTATGTTCCCTCATGTAGATGTCATGTCAAGTCAATGGTGTTTATTCATTTGCTTCTACACTGAAGTGATACAACCCCTTCAACACATCTTCAATTTTTGTTCATGATTAAAGTGTTTAAAGCCCTTTGCTGACTCTTACCTTCTAAAGTGTGACAATTTTATAATGTTCAGAAGCCCAGTGGTATTTTTTTTGTTTGTTTCTTTTCAGTCCTACATACAGTGTAAGCACGTAGACTACCGGTCTGAACGGATAGAGGACTACTATGATATACAGCTCAGTATAAAAGGAAAGAAAAATAGTGAGTACTTTTTTTTGTTACTTTTGTTAGACACCTATCAAATTCAACAATGCAAGCATGCTGGCTCATTCATCCATTTAGTAACCAAAAGCTGATGTTCACATGCAATACAGATTAACAGATGTAATGGAGTTCTATTTAGTATTTTCTACAAAGGTGATTGGGACCTGTTTGGTAGGTGCTGACATTTGTCCCAGTGTAGTGCTTCCAATTGGGCTAATTGAGACTTGAGAGCTGCACATTAGCCTAATTGAATGAACCTTTGCATAGGATGCCCTCAGAGTTTAACCAGTGGTATAGCTAGCATAGGTTGTCTAAGGACTTAATTCGTTTACATGAATGTAAAATCGTATTCAATCAATTCTGCAAAGTTATTTTTTTTAGAACAAGACAAACTGAACAACTTTTTATAAAAGCGTTCAGCTCTAAATCTTCCCAACATACCCCTGTGCATTAATACCTTTTAAAAATGCTTTTGCATTTTTTGCGATTATTAAAGCAGAAAGTCATTAAATGATGATTTTCAAGGTGGTTGGTCAGTGTTTGTGCATGAGGTTTATGTAATACGTGAACTGATCCTTTAAGCCGGCCATAGATGAATCGAATCTCGGCCATTTCCGCAGGGGCTATCTATGGGCAGGTTGGTTGTACTAAAGTCAATTAATTGACTTCAGTGCAATCAGCCTGTCGGATTTTTCGCATGCAATTGCTGCCAGTGGCTATAGCTCCCAGCACTAATCTATTGTGCTCTGCCAGCGGGGAGGGCAATCTGCCAGCACAACACAACAGCGCTATGGGAGAAAGTCTTCTGTCAACACTGATGGTGTTGATGGGGGAATCTAGCAATTTTCTTTACTGAAACCATGGGAAAACTGCATCATCTGTGGCTTGCCTGAATCTCTTATCCTAAGGTATGCTGGTCACTTTATCTCTGCAGACTTCTAGAAAAAGCGATCCAGGTTGCATTGAGTATGAAATTTGGAGTTGAGAATTGTGAGTCCTGAACACACTCATTTTTTTGCCATAATTTTAATGAAACATCCTCTATCTCTTGTGAACGTTTATAAAATCACGGTAGACAAGATTTAATTGAAATGGCCACTTTACGGGACACAAGTAGTCTTTCTCCTCTGGTTATACTGCCAACTACAGGAGAAATACACTAGCGAGTAAACTGTAGGACTTCCCTAGCTAATGTTAGCAAAAGTTCCCTTTTTCTCTTCCATTCATTGAATGACAGTCGGATTTTTATGGTCATGACCAATGGGATATAATGATATTGGAGTATAGGAGTTTGAGATCTATAGGAGAAGTTCTAAGAGAGCCTGGGTTGGCCCTTGCTTGCTTGCTAATTTTTAAAGAGCAACTGTCATCTGTCCCACAGCGGCACCTCCTCAGACCTGCTGTTGACTCACCAACAGTCTCATTCACTTTAATTGGATGGCTGGTGATACGGCCGTAACACAACAAGGTGAGGGACATGGCGAGAACAGGTGAGTGGATGCCCGCTAACAGGCGCTGATATGATGGATCTAAAACTACAGGTGCTCTTTAACCATTAGCCTACAGGGCATTTATTATAAAACAATATAAACCGCGCAAATCCAAACCCTACATAAAAAAATATAATAAATGACAAAATAATAAATATTCATATATAATCTCACTCAAATAATATATGAAATCAAAAAAGTCTCCAAAGAAAGATAAAGTCCTTTATCCCAGAAAAAACTAATTTGTGTTTCAACAAAAAAACATATAAGTCCTTCTCCTTTTTATAATGTGCTTCCACCATCCACCAGTGCTGTAACCAACATAAATCACACTCACCAGATACTGGTGAATTGCACGCCTTTTAGGGATCCTTCTTTACAGCCTCCAGGACTCCATATCCCCACTTAGGGCTTTAGGATCTCCTTCCACTCCCTCCCGATTTATCCTTCCAAGCCAGCGCCGCAGCAGTGTAAGAGAAAAACATATAGCGTAATATTGCTAATAACCTCACAAAGTGCTATAATAATACCAGGCCGTTCACAATTCAAAAGATAAAACAAAGCATTGTTAATTGCCTCCAACCGGCTTTCATATTTCCCATAGTATCCAGGGCTTTTTCAAAGGTCTTTGAAAACGCCCTGCGGGCGGGGGGGGATGGGGGTGTGTGTGTGAGTGTGAAACGCGGCGACACACTTCAGGTCTGCCGCCTAACGCCCTGTGCAACTTCCGGTGAGTGGAGCGCACGCCATAGCGGTGCGTTCCAAGCGGCCATCTTTGATGCTTTTACTGAGAGACACTCTGTCATCCTCTGCAAAAAGGCTGTGAGGTTTCTGATGTTGTCCTGGATGCTATAGGAAATATGAAAGTCGGTTGGAGGCAATAAACAATGCTTTGTTTTATCTTTTGAAATGTGAGCGGCCTGGTATTATTATAGCACTTTATGAGGTTATTAGCAATATTACACTATATATGTTTTTCTCTTACACTGCCGTGGAGCTGGCTTGGAAGGATAAATCGGGAGAGAGTGGAAGGAGAACCTAAAGCCCTATGTGGGGGTATGGAGTCTTGGAGGCTGTAAAGAAGTGTATAGGATCCCTAAAAGGCATGCAATTCACTAGTATCTGGTGAGTGCGGTTTATGTTGGTTACAGCACTGGTGGATGGTAGAAGCACATTATAAAAATGAGAAGGCCTTGTATGTTTTTTTGGTTTAAGCACAAATTAGTTTTTTGTTTTTGTTTTTTGTTTTTTGTTTTTTTGGGATTAAGGACTTTATCTTTCTTTAGACACTTTTTTGATTTCATATATTGAGAGTAAGATTATATAATTTTAATATTTTTTTATTTATTATCTTTATATTTTGTGTAGGGTTTGGATTTGCGCTGTTTTATATTGTTTTATATTATTTGGTGTATTACACGTGTGTACAGCAGCAGTTTATACCCTTATATACATACATTTTGGGAGCACACTTTTCTGTGGCGCTGGGGTTTGTGATCAATAAAAAAATACAGGGCACTTATACTCCCTTCCTGCCCAGGCCAATTCCCAGCTTTCAGCACTGTTACTTTGAATGACAATTGCACAGTCATGCAACACTGTACCCATATGAAATTTTTATAATTTGTTTTGTGACAGAGCTTTATTTGGCGGCATTTAATCACCTCTGGGTTTTATTATTTTTTCTTAAACCAAAAACCACTGAAAATTTTGAAAAAAAAAAAATAATTATTGTTATAAAAATTTTGTAAATAAGTGATTTTTCACCTTCACTGATGTGCGCTAATGAGACTGCACTGATAGGTGGCACTGATGGGCATTGACAGGCATCGCTGATAGGCACTGACTGGCGGCACTGGCTGGCACTGACAGGCGGCACTGACAGGCAGCACTGACTGGCACTGATAACGGACACTGGCAGCAGTGATAGGTGGCACTGACTGGCATTGATGGGTGACACTGAAAGGCAGCTCAGATGGGCACTGATATGTGGCATTGATGGGTACTGGTAGTCACTGAAATGTGGCACTGATGGGCACTGGCAGGTGGCATGGATGAGCACTGACAGGTGGCATGGATGAGCACTGACAGCTGGCACTGATGGACACTGACAGGTGGCACTGCTAGGGCTACACAGATCATCAGGGCACACTGATCATCAGTGCCCTGATGATCAGTGTACATGTCCCCTCTGAGGAAAACCGATTACCGGCTCTCCTCACCTCTCGAGCTGTAAGCGTGACAGCTCGTGAGGAGAGAAATGCCGATAACCAGCATTTCCTTGTTTACATGTGATCAGCTGTGATTGGACACCGCTGATCACATGACTGAGGTGACAATTTTGGCTCTTTCTGGTGATCCGCTGTGTCCGAGGGACACAGCGCACCGCCGATCGCCACGCTGCGTGCTCCCGCAGCCGCGTATGCGCAGTTACAATGGGAGGACGTCATATGACGTCCTCCCAGAACGAGAGAACAGCCTTGAGTCCGTCATTTTACATGGCGGGAGGCGGTTAAATGTAATGAATCCGACTCATTCTTGCTGGTAGTTAGAATCTTTAATATTTGCAAACCAAATGAAGGTTTCCTTTTTAGAATAATAAGCTGTCAGGTTAGTAAAACAGCGATATCAGAACTGATTTTAGGTTAATAGGTTAATCACACATAACTGGAGAACTACTCAAATTCTTTTATTTCATCTTATTGTTACTATGAAATTGTGTGAATGCATCAGTGCATTCATACAGCTATCTCAGCTTGTTATCTCAGCTTGCAGAGCTTGCATTTATTGAATGAGTTTACCAAAAATGTAAATATAGCAGAATATATAGCCTCATGCTACATAACGAAGCTCCATTTCATGCGGAATAAAGTAAATTATTAATGTATCTTAAATAGAAAACTATCTTTGGATAGATTTTTTACTCCAAAAGCATTTTATCAAAATAAATTTGAATAAAAATTTTAAAAAATCTGATTTAATTAAAAAAAAAAATCCAATAAAACATGTCAAACCATATATTTGTGTGCACCCGTGAGATAGTGACAAACTTAAGTGCTCTATATTTTCCATAGGTGACGCCTTAACCACTTCCGGATCAGTCAGTGGTGGGGGCTCTCTTGTACAATTGGAGTGGCTACTAGCCGCCTGATTGCTTGAACAGGCAGCAGGATGGGACGTTACTCTGCTTTAAAAAAAAAAAAAAAAAAAAAAAAAATTTGGGGTTCTAAGTCATTTTCTAGCAAAAAATACTGATTTTAAAATTGTAAACAAAGCGTGCCAGAATTGGCTTTGGGCTGAAGTGGTTAAAAGCCCCCTATAGGTCATCAGTTTAGGATTAGAGGAGGTCTGGTGCTATAATTATTGCTCTCACTCTGGCGTGCACAATGACATGTAACGTGTGTCGCAATTATACCTGACACATGCGTTTATTTTCTTACGTGCGTATATGTGGGGGGAGGGGGGGATCTTATGTGCTTGGATGTAACATTTTTATTTTTTACAATTTTTTTTTTTTTCTTTTTTTCTTTTTTTTTTTTTTTCCCCCCATCACATAGGGAACAAAAGCCATTTGGAGTGTGCAGTCAGGTCTGTACAAAATACTGACCTGGCAGCAAAAGGGGTAAATAGATGTTTATGGATAAAATTTTGGGAGCAGCATGGTTTTAACAAGGGCAGATCATGTCAGACTTCTCTGATTGGATTTTTTGACTATATTACCAATGTTTTGGACCAGGGTGGTACTGTGACATAGCATATCTTGATTTCAGCAAGGCATTTGATACAGTTCCACATAATGATCTAATACAAAAGTTGTACACACTAGGACTTCACTCTTGGGTGAATAAGTGGATAGCAGCTGGCTAAAAGATAGATACCAGAGTGTGGTTGTAAATGGGGTTCACTCAGAAGAGAGTCCAGTCACTAATGGTGTCCCACAAGGCTCTGTACTGGGTCTTGTTCTATTTAATCTATATGTAAGTGATATAACAAAAGGTTGTTGGGTAAGGTATGTATTTTTGCTGATGGGTGGTGTGTAACAGGGTTGATATCCCTGGAGGTGTCTGTAGCATGGAACATGACTTTGCAGGAAGATTGGTCAAAAAGGTGGAAATTGCAGTTCAATGTTCCTAAATGTAAACTAAAAATCCCTTGAGATAGTACAGCATTGGGGGTACATTGTTGGACAGCACTAGAGAGGAAAAGGATTTAGGGGTACTTCAATTTTCATTCATATTTCAGATGATTGCAAAATGAGCAAACCATGTGAGCAGGCAGTGGGGAAAGCCAAATAGAATTCTAGGATGCAGCACTAGAGGGGTCACCAGCAGGAGGAAGGAGGTCCTGATTCCTCTATATAGATCTTTAGTTAGACATTTAGAATACTGTGTCCAGTTCTGGAGACCCCACTTAAAAAAGATATGGATAAGATACCAGAGCCCAGAGTCGAATAAAAAAAAATGGCGAAAGGTCTGGGGGATAAAATATATCAAGTGCGTCTTCAGGAACTTGTACAATCTGGAGGAAAGAAGGGAAAGGCTGACTAAAACCATTATATACATCAAGGGGGTGAATAAGGTTCAAGAGGGCAATATTTTCAACATGAAACCAAAATCAAGAATATGGGGACATGACCTTAACTGCTTTCCCACTGCCCTATAGCAGAAATACTCCTACAGGGCAGCAGGGGCGCGTAAAATCGTGTGTATATATACGTGATTTTGCATTTCCGGATAGGTGGCATGTGCGAGCCCTACCCGCGCCACCATTGACGGCCTCGGCTGTCATTCACCGGGTCCCGGCCGGTGATTTCCCACTGGCACCCGGCGATCACAGTGTGTATCACGGACGGGGGAGAGACATGTATGTAAACAACACAGATCTCTTCCCTGTCAGCTCCTGCACACTGCTTTGTATGGCTCTGCATAGCAAGCAGTGTGGTTACAGTGTAAAGCACACACACAGCACACAGTTAACCCTTTGATCGCCCCAGATGTTAACCCTTTCCTGCCCAATGTCATTAGTACAGTGTCAGTGATTTTTATTAGCACTAATCACTGTATTGGTGTCACTGAGGATGTCAGTGACAGTTCCCCCCCCCCCCCCCCCCCCCCCCAGTGTCAGAATACCTGCCGCAGTCCCGCTATAGCTCGCTGATTGCCGCCATTACTAGTATTAAAAAAAATAAATAAAATTCCAGTATCTATACCGCCATTTGTAGACACTTTAACTTTCACGTACACCAATTTACACGTATTGGGATTTTCTTTTTAGCCGAGACATGTAGCAGAATACATTTTGTCCAAAATTTATTACGAAATGTGATTTTTACTTTTTCTTTTTTTTTTTACTGGACATGTTTAATCGCAAGAAGTCAAAATTGGAGGTCTTTTGTGCTTTTTAAAAAAAAAAAAAAAATAAAAAAATAACTGCAGTGGCGATCATAAACACCAAAAGAAAGCTCTATTTGTGAGAGGAAAAAGGACATAAATTGCATTTGAGTCTAGCGTTGCATGACTGCGCAATTGTTACTTAAAGCAACGCAGCACGGGTAAATCCTCTGGAGGGCAAGTGGTTAAACTAACTGGAGGAAAGTTCAAAACTAATCACCCCCCACCCCCCCCCCCCCCCCCCCCCCAAAAAAAAAAAAAATTAACTGCCCCACCTATATCCCAAAAAAAAGAAAAACCGAAAAACCTCACAAAAAACGGGCCACTAAGTTTGGAGTTGCCCGCCTCTCAGCTGTTGCATGAGAGTTGTGAGCCAGTGTGTAACTCTTTGAGCTTTATATGTCCAGTCTCATCCCAGACTCTACCAGCGTTACTCTTCTGTCTTGGGAAAAGTTGGCCAAGTCCCTGAGCAGATTGAATGGTCTTCCCCCGAAAACCAGGTAGTTCTGGTATGGTGGAAATGTCTTCTAGCTCTGGAATCACTGCAGTCCTTCCTTCCGGAAGATTCTATTATTGGATTTTAGGCTGGGGAGGCACCCTGTAGGTGCAGGTGTCCAGATCATCAGAGAGTTGTCTTCAGCCTTCATCCTGGAGTTTTTACATTGCTAAATTATTTCCTTAGACGATTACCGGATCACAACCCCCTTCTGCCACCTGTAAAAGTGATCCAGTGGCCGCTTAGCCAACACATGGTAGGGAATCGCCACCACAAAAAATATATAATTGCTGCAGCGATGACCGAGCTATCATCACTCCGTCCAAGTACCTATATGTACGTTTGGCAGGGAGAAAGTTGTTTAACCACTTGCCCTTGGTAGATTTACCCTCCTTAATGACCAGACCATTTTTTACTATTTGGCACTGCACTATTTCAACTGGTAATTGCGTGGTCATGCAGTGCTGTGCCCAAATGAAATTTATGTCCTTTTTTTCCAATACTGTCTTGGGTGCCATTTCCTGATTTCACACCAGGAAATGTAAGCCTTCCAAGTTCTGCAATAAATTTTCCTAGAGATCGCCTTTCTAGCCCCCAACTTGATTGGGATGACCAAATCCGATACACGCCTATCCTTTAAGATCTTGTTTTCAATAGCCATGCCGTCAAATTTAGTGACCATGAAGCTGGGTGCAATATAGGACCTTGGGACAGCAAGTCTGGCCAACATGGCAGGTACCACAGCCCGTCTACTGCCATCTTCACTATGTCCACGTACCGGGCCGCCAGGGCAATTGGTGTCACCAGAAAAGGCTCCCGAATCCTGCATAAGACGTGGCAGCAGCAGAATTGAAAAAATAAATAAAAAGTTCAAACTAGCAATATTGATTTTTGATGCCACTGGGCTCTATTTATTGATGCCTAAAACTGAAGATTTTTTTTCTCAACATCTAAAGAAAACAGAACGGTCATGTTTTTGCGTCTTGAACAATGTTTTTTTTTTTTTTTTTTTCTTTTCTTGAATGACGAGAGATTTTATTTCCATGCAACCAGATCTCTCATGGTCTTCTTGCAGTCTGCTCTTTACTGCCTTTCTCCCATTCCTAGTGACCACAGTGTGGTTGGCATTTTCACAGGCTGATAGGTGAACAAGAACAGCAGGATTGGTTGGACAATATAATGTAATGCAATATCTTGTATGTTTTTTCACATACAGCATCTGAATTTTAAAATGATTTAAAACAAACATAAAAAAACTAAACCAAAAAACCCACAAAAATGAGCAAATAGGAAAAGTCCCTTGTGCTGATGCCACTTCTGTTAGGTGAAATCTTTGTCTTTTGACACCCCCCCCCCCCCCCCCCCCACCGCTTTAATCTTCTGGTGGGGCAGGGGTTAATAGAATTGTGGTAACTGTCACAAGCTCTCAAGCATTCCTGACTATTCCCACACTTTCTGCCCAGTTGCTCCATTCGTTGAAGTTGCACTACAACTTCTACAAATGCAGCCAGATTTATGAATAGAGAGGGCGGGCCTTTCAATCATCTGC